TGAATATGTCAATTTGTTCAACAAATCCACATGAATGGGAACCATGTTCCAATTGAAATGCTCAAATCTTTGTCACACTTTGTCTTAATGATACTTAATTTCATTGATGATCTCAATTTACAATTTTTTTCAGAAGTCTGCATTTGAAAGAAAAAAACCTGAAACAAATTAACATGAGCTTCCTTCAACTCTTTTCATTTATGTGATATTTTCATAGTAAACGCTTGACTCATAATTTTGAAAAACCTGAATTCAGGTCATGATTTATAAATTTCAACTGCTGCTGCTCATAGAAACTTTCCACTCATTCCTCTTCAGAAATAGACAAGCAAAGAAAATGCTAGGCGTTTTAAACAAACTTTTTTTTTCTCCTTCCAAGCAAAAACCCATCCAAGTTTCTTCATGGTGTGTGGCACCAAGTGTAGCATGCAATGCAGTGAGTTGTGTCATGGTGTGTGGTGTTCTATTCCTGGAACACAACTTGTGTTCCGCCTTTTCCTTCCCCCAGGAAACTAATTTGTTCAAAACATTCGTTCCTTCTTCTTGGGTCGTTCCAGGCAATGTGAGTCCTATTAGTACACAGTGTCGTGAAAAAAAACAAAACAAAAACAAAGAAATGGACGCCATGAGCACCATCAGTGAGTCCAACGTGAGGCGCCACCACTGCAGGACGTTCCAGCAACAACTGTAAGTTGATCCCGCGCGCGCGACATCTATCCGCGATTCGAGAATACTCCTATGAAATTGTTTCAAAATGAATCCACTACGAGTCACTCGCTTTTCGCGAATCGCAAGCGTGGAAAAAGCGAGGGTTTCACGTGTCATTTCTTTCACCGATCGTTAATGACTCACTACTTCGTTGATCGTTGTTTGGGAATTTTCCGCTTTCGAATCGCAAATAAAGCACTGAAGCCTGTGCGAAATTGACTCAATTAGACAAACAGGCGGAGACGCGGAGAGGAAAAACAAAAGGCGGTAACGTAAAGAAAGATGGGAAATGTGGAATGAAAATAAGAGAGATGGAAAGCATTAATCACGATTCCGTGGAAAAGATACGACGCATGATACGAAAGAGAAAATTTTAGACACAAAGCATAGAAGAACCATTGTTTTCCTTTACCTGCTTTTTTTGTGGCATATAACAAGTTTTTGTGCTTGTAAAGACAAGGGGGGATTCAAAAGTTAATCGCGTGCATCACATTATGAAAAAAAAACTCGAAAATTTCCTTAAAATAGTCAGAAATTTGCTTTACGCAAATTTGAATGAAAAATTAAGAATACATTTTTGGAAATGTGAGGGAGACACCATTCAATGGATTAAGCATTGCATTTTCTAAGAGGATTTCATATTCAAAATTTGCTACTCAAATAATATTCTCTATAGTCGAGGAACATTAACTCATGTTGAAATTAGTGAAAAAATTGAATTTCCCTGAAAGGTTTAATTCGTCCAAGAAATAAATTGTGTTTTTGCTAACGATACTTTTGAGAAGCCCCTCATGGATAAAAATTACATATTCCATGAATTCTTCCTGATTGCATCTGACCTTGTCTACTTCTTTTGGGGCTTTATTAAAATAAAACCTTCTGAGAAATATTAAACTATATTATTGTTGTTTCAAATCAGAGAATGATGCCCAAAGTGTACTAATTCTTCATTATTACTATAACATATGCGCCACTAGTTTTCATTCACACTGCTGAAAAAATAAATCATGTGCCTTTTTGTGAGGCTTTTGAGAAACCACTTCCTCTTGCATTCTCATAACTTGAAAAAGGTACTATATTGTCATGAGATAAGGGCATTATCCAAAATTCATCACTGGCTAACCAACATTAATCATTGAAAATACTATTATTGCAACTTTTGAGAAAACCCCTTTTCCCCTCAATCACACCTTCAAAAACACAAAGTGAGGAGAAGAAGAAACTATTGGTGCAAAAGAAAGTGAACATCATGCAAAACTACCTCAGTGTACAGTGACTCCAAAATTCATCATTACAGAGTGACTAAAATATTATTGTAATTCAACTTTTGAAAAACCCTTTCCATTTTTATTTTCATCCAAAAAGAAACACATACAGTGAGAAGAAACTTTTGATGTAAAAGAAGGCACACATGCAAAAATTCATCAGCAGTGACTGACCAGAATTCATCACAGAAACAGAGCATGACTATTAATGCAACTTTTGGGAAAACCCTTTTCCCCTTTTATACAAACTTTAATAAACACCAAGGGAGGAGAAGAAGAATCTATTGGTGCAAAAGAAGATGAGCATCATGCAAAACCACCTCAGTGTACAATGACTGACGAAAATTCATCACAGCAGAGTGACTAAAATAGCTTTGTAATCCAACTTTTGAGAAAACCCTTTTTCATTTTGATTTTCATTAAAAAGAAATACATACAGTGAGAAGAAACTTTTGATACAAATGAAGGCACACGTGCAAAAATTCATCAGCAGTGACTGACCAGAATTCATCACAGAAAGAGAGCATGACTATTAATGCAACTTTTTGGAAAACCCCTTTCCCCCTTTATTCACACTTTAATAAACACCAATGGAGGAGAAGAAGAATCTATTGGTGCAAAAGAAGATGAGCATCATGCAAAACCACCTCAGTGTACAGTGACTGACCAAAATTCATCACAGCAGAGTGACTAAAATAGCATTGTAATAATACTTTTGAGAAAACCCTTTTAATTTTGATTTTCTTGAAAGAGAAACACATACAGTGAGAAGACACTTTTGATGCAAAAGAAGGCAGACATGCAAAAATTCATCAGCAGTGACTGGCCAGAATTCATCACAGAAACAGAGCATGACTATTAATGCAACTTTTGGGAAAACCCCTTTCCCCCTTATCCACCCTTGAAAAAACACACTAAGTGAGAAGAAGAAACCATTGGTGTGAGACTTTATTTCAGGGGAATCATTGGGACATTAGTCCTCCTCCCGTTTTTCCGCGCCTCCTTTTTGATTGTGTTCTCCCATCCCAATTTTAAATTGTCGTGTGATTTTGTATCCCACCTCTTTCATTTATTCTTCCATGTATCCATTCCTTCATTATTCGAGTCCCTCGTTTATCAAATATATAGAGTCTGTCTGCATGTGGACACGGTTTGCGCTCAGATATATTTTTCTTTTTTTCCCGCGTATGCCCGTGATTAGACGCTCGTATCAGCAGGCCTTTTTTTTTCTGCTCGCACATTTTGTGCGGACTTTGAACCAGTGGAAAATCCAGTGGAAAATTTCCGTATTTCCTTGATTGTATAAAGGACACAATTTTATAGCCCCCAAATTTTTCACATCGTTTGAAAAATAAGTCGATGTTGGCGCGGCCTAGAAAATTGAGAAAATTGGGTTAAACTGTGAATAGGCCGCATTTGGACGCGAAAATAAAATTAAGGGCAATGTTTGAATCTTTTTGTGGATTTGTAAAGACTTTTTATAAAATTCGCAATGAAGAAATTTTTCATATGTTTCAAGGAAAGATAGCGCTGAATTTATGATATGTCAAGAAAAAAACTGGTGGTGAAAAATTTTTGTTGCCAAATGTCATTATTGGTTTTAGCGTTGAGTTGCTCACCTAAATTTTGGCTCATACTTTTTTGGAAGAAATGATGGCAGAAAATTGAAGTGCGGCCTATTAATTTTGTGTTCATTCAAGTATGCTGTACTTGGTTTTTGAAAGTGAATTTAAGAAGCACGAGTTTTTGAAAATCTCGTGGTTTTAAAAGTGTTAAATTGTCTCGTAATAATACATCTTTTATTCCCTCGTTCTTTCTTGCGATTTAATCAAATTGTTTTGAAAAAATCATATTAAGCGATTGATCGAGTCCATGTCTTAAATTAGTGAAGGATTTTGAAAAAATTTGTGATAAAAAATGTTTCAAAAATAAAAATCGAGTGTTTTTGATTCGAAAACCATACTTACCAATTATTTTGAGTCATGATTATATTTCATGAGAGTTGAAAATTGTTAGGGAAAGATTTCTGGACCAAATGCAATTATTGTTTTTACCCAGGAGTTCCTCTCAAAAAATGTGCACGCATTTTTTTGTGGCCCCTGGTGCTTAAGAAATGATGGAAAAAAATTGAGATGTGATCTATTTTCGTATTTATCGAGTGCAATTTGTGTTTAAAACTGTATTTTCTAAACATCAGTTTATGAAAATCTTGTGGTTTTCAAGTACTGTACTGTATTAGATTTTCTATTGTGAACAGTCGAGAAATTTTCAACATCAGTGACGTCGTCAGAATTTTTCGAAAATTAAGGAAATGAAGAGTACTGCATTTAAATTTTGATATTTTCTGATCATATCCATGCAAGACACATTTATGAAATAAATTGGGAGAAACTTAGAAGAAATCTTGCCAACTGGTGTCTGAAGATATTTTTGCGTAAAATCAGTTCATTTCTGCATCGGCATTCCCTGAAAAATCTTAATTGAAATTAAAATTCGAAATAAAGGTTTTCAAAATTTCTCTTTCTTCTGATAGAAATTGGTTGCAATAAATGTAGGCTGGGAATTCAACTCTTGCCGAATTTATCGCTGCTTCAAATTTAATGCAATTGGCGAATTATTCCTGAAGTCATAAGACTCATAACACTTCGAATTTAAGTTTTTGAAACGAATATTTTGCGCTGAAAACAGTTTTCTTGGTTTTCTTATGTATTGAGTAATTCAATAAATTTGAAGAAACACGCAGCATATTTTCTTTATTTTCATTTTCGAGTACTTCTAAATACATTTTTTTCTATCTTGAAGTAAACGGAAGATGATTGTTTTGCACGTGTGAAACATATTGAAAATGGCATTTTCTTGCGATAAAAATTCAAAATTTTCTATATATCTAAAATTGAGCGGAAACACGTATTTGATCTTTGACAACTCAGATCAAAAGGGGTAACGTTCTTCAGAATTTTTCGAGTTCATCTGGACTTTTAAAATTTGGACCAGACTTCGGGAAATATCATAGGCTTTTCAAAAATTTATATAATTATATTTTTTTATAGTCGGAATAGGGATTTAAAAAAATGAAGCCCCTGTTTTCCCGCAATAACATAAACGCGGTTTACGCGCCTTCAGTCGTGTTGTCCACAGTCCGAGAACTGGACGAAGATTCCCAGGGATTTTCAGAGTAAGCCATAAATACATGCCTCGCACTTCCAGCGATCATTTTACTATTTTTTTTAATTCGAATTAATATCGCGATGTTTCTTGTTTTAGATCGAGGTCCAGCAATAAAAGCAGCAGCAGAAAGTCGCCGACCAGCGAAAAAGACTCTGGGATCAGCGGACATCGAACTGCGTCTTTGGTAATGAAAAAAAATATTTTTTCCCTGAAAAAACTGTCTTTTAATCTCGTTTTTTTTTCTATTAGACGACACTGTTGTCTTCGTCGCCCACCACGTCGATGAAGATAAACAACAATAATATGCAAAGCGGGAGGCTGGAAACTCTGGAGGCGAAGGTGAGAAAATTCGAATTTTCATAATTTTCACGATGAATTTTAGCAAACGACGAATTAATTTTAAAAAATTATTGCATGAAAGCCTGATTAAAAATCTGATTATAAAAATATAAATACTGTAAATTTATCAATTAAAGGAAAACTCCGAGGATTTTTGCTGATTTAATCAACTCTCAACTTTTAATTCACGCGAAAATTAAATATCTTTCAAAATTGATTCATACTCCGAAATTATGAATTGATGATAAAACTCGACAAAATAAAATTTTCATAATTTCCACGATGAATTTTAGCAAACGAAGAATTAATGAAAAAAAACATTGCATGGAAGCTTTATCAAATCTCTGATTGTACAAATATAAATACTGTAAATTGATTAATTTAAGGAAAACCCCGAGAATTTTTGCTGATTTAACCAACTTTCAACTTTTAATTAACGCGAAAATTAAATATACTTCGAAATTGATTCATACTTTGAAATTATTAATCGATGCTAAAACTCGCCAAAATAAAATTTTCATTAACAAATCGAGACCGTTGGAATTTTGTGCAAAATGAAATTAATAGCGGTGAAGATGACTGGAGAATTTCTCAGAATTTTAAATATCAATTTTTCGCTGGAATACCGGTAATAAACAAGGCAAAAATGCAAACGTTTCATGAAAGCTTATTGAAATACCTTCGAGGAGGCGTCAATAATGCAAAATTTTCAAACACAAAATCAGCAAGTTATGATTTGATCAAACAAAAACAAAATTGTTGTAGGCGGAAAACTGCGAGAAACTCTTGACTTGATAAGATAAACATCACCTTGAATCAATCGTATTCATTGATCTAATCAACTCACCTTTTCCGAAAAAATTGTACAGTATTCATTAGTACGAGAGGTGAAAAAAATTAATTTTATTCAAGTTTTGAAGGTCCTTTTCTCGGGAATTCCCCTTTTTGTATCAAACCTGGAGAGGAATTCCCCACCTCGACAAATCGTAGGTTCAAAAAAATATTTATTCAGATCTCCCCAAAATTTTGCGAAAATTCTTTCAACAACATTCCCACGAAACGATGTGGCATTGAATAAAATTACACTAATATTTTTTACTCAATCGCAGATGGCGACGATAGAGTCGTCGCTGTCGACGTCATCTAGATGTCGCTCGTCGACTGGCCTGCTGTCCACAGCAAGTGAGATCGACGACAACGCCACCTGTTGGCCCCCTTATGCTGCAGTTTGGCAAAGTCTACCAAAAGGAATGCGAGAGGTTGTGCAAGAAATGGAAGTCCTGAGAAGAAGCTTGAGGGAAAAGGATGTGCTCATCCTTCGCCTCAGGCGACATCTAGCCCAACTCTGCAACGAACACGTCAGCCAGGTTTGTTTCGGTGGACCTGCTTTGAAAATTTAAAAACTACATGAATGAATGAATACTTTTTTTTTCAAACTTGATTGAACCTCTTACACAATAAATTTCCCCCAGAAATTTCAGTACTTTTTGAGAGAGAAAAAGGCCAGGTTATATCATTATTTTTTAATTCTAATGGCACACACTTTTAAAATGGAGAAATGGATGTAAAGTGAATTTATGAGTGCACTGGAGATGGGAGAAAGTTGGTCACACTTAGCATGGTTGTCTGAACACTTGATTTATGTTTTGTGATGCTTTGCTTGCCAGTCACTTCATGCCCAGGCAGGAGGCCAACAAAATGGTAAACCATGAACACCTTTTTTCAAACAGCAGCATTTTGAGTTTTCCTAATTTTTCATTGGCAAAATGAAGATACAATTTGAGTTATCAGATTTAGTGTTGAGTTTTGAGATTTGAACCAGAAAGACAAACATTACAAAATTATGAAGACATAGAAAGAAAAAGCATAAGAAAACATAATTTGTAAAATCTAAAACTATGTCAATGAGAATATTTTCAACTTAGTGCTTGCAAATTCATAAAACACAGCACTGTGATCAATGATTTACAAGTTTCTTTTGTTTCTCAATTTTTGTGGAACAGTGGTCAGAAAATAATCAATATGTAGAAGAGACAACTTAGCTGTCACAATTAATCTAAACTGCAGAAATAGGTAAATAGATTGGAAAAATGAGTTTTGTCAGTGAGTTTAGTGGGTCCCTGCTTAAAGAGAGAATTGTACAAGAAAAATTTGCATTAAAACATTCTTGCAGAGAAAATAGTGCTTGTGTTTTATTAAGTTTTGAATTCAAACTTTTGAATGTTTTCACATGAATCAAAATTTGTGAATGATGAAGAAAAATGAATTTTTTGCCTTTTCTTGCCCCAAAATTTGTGCTTTGGATTATTTTCATCCCTTTAAGATTACTTTAATTTCATATGAAGATCTTGGTAAAATACACAAGTCTGTAATGACTTTTTTTTGTGTATACTGTATTCACCAATGACAACTCAAGAGATATTATTAATTCTATTGCATAAAAAAAACATCCTTGAAGGTTTACTTCTGCAATATAGCAATTTTGTATAATGGATGAGATCAAATTGCATTTTTTCACGCCCACACAAAAAACACACCAGGCCACCAGTGTGGCACACTCCTAGCAGTGAGTAGGCCACAACCTTTAGTGACCTCATCCATCACTTTCCCACTGGCCAGCTACTCACTAATGTTCAGGCTGTCACCCCCAGGCACTTCTGCCAGTGAAACCTTGTCCATCCATCACCAAACTCATTCCTCCTGGCTTTCAATTCCCTTCAGATTCATCCACTGGCAATTAGTGCTGCCAAAATTGCAATGCTTCAAAAAACATTTGAACCTCTCCAATTTGAATTTGAAGAAACTGAAAAAAAATGATTTATCTTTAAAACAGTGTTTTTTGAGTTGGGGGATTTGATATAATTTGGGTAGGTAAGTTGGTGAATGCAAAGTTCTTCTCCCCAAATAATTACAAATGTTCAGAAGTAACCTTCTTTTCTTATGCCCAGCATTCCATAGCTACAGAAATGAGCTTCAAAAAGATTTGGGACTCTTGAAATTCAATGAAAAGACTCTCTCCAAAATCTAGGACCAAGATAAACTGTAAACCTTATATGATTTCTCATCAAAGATTTGCTCCAAAATGGTTTAATCAACTAAACCTTCTCTGAATGCAGGCTGAACACATTGTGCTTTAATTTGGGTTTAGTAATTGCCTGATGCTGCAATTCTCATTACTGAAATTTTTTTGGTTATCAGGGAAGGGAAGAAAGTGTATGGACAGTATTTACATCAGTGTGCAATTGTACATTTTGGAATGTATTTTCTTTTCTTTTAATATCCATGTACAGAGTTTGGATGTGGGAACATTGCTTGAACCTTGTGAATGCTGAAAAAGGGAAAATAGAGTTTGCCGTTCCATAAAAAAAATCAGTAAAAAATAATAGTTGTCCAGCCTGCAGGAATATGCTTAATTCCTTGTGTATGTCAGAAAGTAAATAATTTTCATCTTTTTTTTTGCTCTGGGAAAGGTGTTAAAAAATTCAACTCAAATTTGTGAACAACTGCAGGGGTCTCAAAATTTTACATGAGTGAGATTTTATTCAAGAAATTCTAATTTAGAAGATTTAAACTGAGTTGAACTGGAAGAGATTAGCTGGAAAATTGACTTTTGGAGATTTGACAGATTGGGAAAAGTCCAATTGAATGAATTATATATATATTATTTTGTGAATGTTCATCAGGGCAAAGATGGTGCAAGTGAGCTGAATATTGAGGACAAAAAGCGATTGGAAGACAGACTGAAGACATTGAGAAGAGATGTGGATTGTAGGCAAATTGGCCTGAAGAAGTTGAGGACTCTCCTGGAGCGCCTGAAAGGATCTGAGTAAGTTTTTTCTTCAGTTTTCAGAACTCCAAAAAGAAGTTTAGACCTATTTCTTTTACAATTGAGCATCAGTTGAACATTTTGATATTAGCCAAACATATAAGAGTCATGATGATGACAAAATTTCCCATTTAGGACAATTTCTTTCTCATCATTTTAAATAAGCCAACAAATAAATCTTGCCATGGATCTGATCTTCCATGACATTTTGAGACTCATTTTCCTCAATTTGGCATCAATGGAATATTCTTATGGTTGAAACTTAAATATTCAAATGCCATGATGAGTGCTCACTGTCACTGATTTTCTCAGAAGACTCAGGGCCATATTTTCTAGCTTTTTCCATGTATACAGTGTTTGAGTTTTGAAGAAACAGTACTTCCGAATTCAGTTATGTGTTGAAAATAATTAATGAAAACTGAAGTTATTTTAAAATGTGCTCTTTATGTCCAACAAGACCAGTCAAAATATTGTGAACATACTTTTCTTGCAAGGATATGAGAATAGTTATTTTTGCTTTTCTCCTTGGACATGATTCTTGAATTAAATGTTCAGATTTCAGTATTTTTATCAATATATTCTATTCTTTCTCCCTCATGTGTATAGAATTCTGAAGTTGTTTTTTAAAATGTGCTCTTTAAAATCAGTCCAAATATTTTAAAAGGTTTGCTTGCAAGAAAAATAGTAGTTATTTTTCTTTTCAGGCAGGATTCCTGGATGAAAAATTCAGATTTCATTGAGTTTCATGAATAAATTTGTATTCCCTTTTTCCCCATCATTTGTCTAGAAATATAGATGTTCGGATTCAGCAAGCAGAACTTGAATATCAACTAGAAAAAGAAGAACTAAACATCCTCAACGTGGAATTGGAGGCAAAAAACATAGAACGTCGACTCGATTCCAGTACCATCAACAACATAAACAACAACAATAACAGCAACAACAGCAAGAACAACAATGACTCAAGTACTGGCGAAGAAAATCCATCAACAACCGATCCCATAAGTGGTCGGACAAAAATAATCATCGGATCCGGGCCAAATGCGCCTGCGGGCAATTCAGTGTTGGAACCCGGGAAACCCGCCCTGGCCAGTCTTTTTGCCAGCATCTCAACTGGGCCCAGTAACAATAGCAAGGATACCCAACAGCACCAGTGCCTCGCATTACTAAGGGTCACCCTCACCATGGACCCAGAGAACCCGAGGTTCGAACTCACTGACTCTGGAGAGGAAAATACGAATGCGGGTGTGGTTGTGGAACATGCTGAAGCATCCACCAGATTGGAGAAAGGAGACAGGTGGGGGGTTCACTCATTTCATTTGGGTGGGACAATTGAACAGACGTTTAAACTTGAATCAGATCATTTGGAACAGAATTTTGCCCATCAATTTTTAAAATTTCCATGGTTTAATTTGTTGTCTTGCATTGGCATGAACATAATAAAATCCTTGATCTTCAAAATTGCTGACCAGACAACTTTACTCTTTTGTGGATAAATTGTTCAACCAAAATGTGGACTTGTGTCTTGGAGAAATAAATTGTTTTTTGCATACTTTTAAAGAACACAAAAAATACTCCTATAAATGATTTTTAGATTAAGTGTCTTTATTACTGTGTATACAGATAGCAATAGTTAATATGTTGCAGAGCAAAGAAACAACAACAAGGTTTTGAGACAAAGTCTGGTGATAGTAAGCTTACTTCAACATAGGAAGCATCTGTATTCATAGGTTTGTGCAGTTGAGGTTTAGCAATGTGCATATAGTAACCAATTCAGATTGATGTCAACATACTTTGTTGTGCAGTCAACAAAGGAAATGGAAATAATTTAGGAAGGTGTTCTAAGTAGAAACAGAATTTCAAGTGCAGTTGTGCCCTAAGGGCAACAAAGTGTAACAGAAAAATAAATAACATCATAACACTCATAAGTGCTCTTCAAGTTGTAGACATAACATATGACAGCAAATTGTTAGTCTTATCCTGTAACATTTTGTAAATGTTACTGGATGAGAAAGGAGAAAGGTGGGTTTCTTTTTTTGGGTGGGACATTTGGACAGGAATTGAAACTTGAATTAGATAATTTGAACATAATTTTGCTTATCAATTGAAAAATGTGTCCATGGATTGCATGATTCTTAGTCTTATCCTGAAACAATTCTTTGATGTTACTGGAAAAAGAAAACAGGTGGGTTTCTTTCTTTGTTTAAGGTGGGACATTTGGACAGACCTTTAAAAATTGAATGAGATACTTTTGAACATACTTTTTCTTCAAGATTATAAAAAATTTTCCTCTGGTTTGTTAGTCAGGTTCAAAAACCTTATTTTTCAATTTAGTAAAAGGGGAAGAATATGATGAGTTTCTCAGGTTACATCTCTTCTGGTTTTCACAAATTCAATGACAATTTATCCAGAACTATGCTTGCCTTGTGAATTATTCTGGAGATGCATATTTACTTTTACCTCCATTTCAAGAAATAGTGTTTGATTTATGAAGGAAGTTCAGAGAAATATGGATTCTTTATTTACAGCATTCAAAACTGTTAGTACTCTTCTGTCATACATTTTAGACACATTCTCCACTGCTTTGAACATCTCTCAGCTCCTTGACAAAATTATAATAAAAAACTTGAAATTTTTGACATTTTTGACAGGACATAAAACCAATTTGTTCTCATTACTGTGCTTAAATCATCTGAACTGTTCTAAATATCCTAGAAATGCTGCAATTTTTGTATTTTCTTTGGATTCAATTGTTTCAGTAACCACAAAAATTCTTGGATGAATACAGCATCCTTCAAAGTTTAAGAAAATACAGTGATTTGAACTTCATCACATGTATATATTCTTCCAATTTCAGTATAATCAGCCTTTTTTTATTGCAGGATACTGGAGATGAACGGGAAGAATGTGTTGGAGGACTGTGCAGAGGAGATCAGAAGCGACATCTTGTCCAAACTGAAGCCTGGTGACCAAGTGGAATTGGTGGTCTCAAGAGAACTCACTTTGGGTCATATTTTTGAGGCAAAGCGTTTGCGAGAAGAGCTTTCTGTAGTCGTGGACACTCTACAGGTAAATTTTCCTCTTTTCAGAAAAAAAAAGAAATTGAAGCACCCAGAAACCTGAATCTAAAACTCAGAAACAATATTGAGGTGGCTAAGCAAGTAAATATTCTCAGATAGAAATTATGTCTTGGAGGAACTGCATTTCCATCATGGATACCAATATTTTTGAAGAACCATGACAATTGAATACAGTATTGTATTTTTTGTTTGGTGAATTTCATAGATCATTTGATAAAATTGGCATCTCTCACAATTTTCCTGTTATAATACTGCATTCAACCAATTTGCTATTTTTCTGTGATAGTTCTTTTTTAAAATATTCATCTGCCATTTTTTCACAAATATCAGAATTATAAAAAAAGTTCTCCTCAAACCTGCATGTATCAGATTGCCAAAAGAAACTGCCCAGTACTTTCTAAATTTGAAAAATTGGCAAAACATTCTTTTGAAAGCTATCAGTCAACTTATAAAGTTTATGTCTGCATTTCTGTACAAGATTTTTAGTTAAAATATTGAGCTTTGTCCAGTGAATGTCAGGCATTCTATTTTCAAAATTCTGTATCATTGTCAGTGGTGATGAAAATAATAACATTTTATATTTTTGATGCATGAAAGATTATCAATTTAAATATATATTTTTCATCAGGGAAAACTGAAGGAGAACCAGGACCTAAGCTCAGTCATCACCAAGCACCAAAAGGAGAAAGAAGCCATGAAGACAGACAGCCAAAGAATGGCTCACAGAATCTCATATCTAGAGGACCAAGTGGCTGAACTAGAAAGGTCCATCAAAAACCATTCCAGGGAGTCTCCATCATCATCCTCATCATGCAATACCATGACCACAGTCACAGCCAAACCAGTTCAAGTCTACCAACGCGGCTCCAATGTTGTGACAGTGACATCTCCCCCAACTTGGGAGAAAACTGGAAAGTCCAAGCACAAGGAGAAAGTCAAGGAGTCGCTCCAAACCCCGGCGACTCCAGCGTTGCCAGCGGCAGCACCACCACCACCACCACCACCAGTCAAAGAAAAACCTGGACACATTCAGTCCAGATTAGACTTTTTCCGCAGCATAGGTCCTAAATCTGGTGGATATTACGTGTCTTCAGCTGCTTCAGAGGTTTCATTCTCAGACTCTGAACATGCCAGACCTCATTTCCAGGTCAAGAACAAACCAGCACCACCTAAAAAGCCAGACAGACTGCATTTGTACAGGGCCACTAGTGTGCAGTCAGTGGATGCAGCTGTGGACAATGGTGCCACAAGGAAAAGGAAGCACCACAACAGACCTTCACTTCCTGCTGACCAACAGCACTTAATGTTGCAGCAGCAGCAGCAGCAGCAGCAGCAACAGGTGGCTGAAGGAGGCATCAGCAAGGACATTAAGCCAGAACATAATCAACATCACCATCTAGTTCCCTCGTGTGTGTTTACCGGTAGGAACGTCCCGAAGTCTAAGTCCGTGTTACACCTTAACCGAGTAAAAGGACTCGGATGTGTCTCCCGGTCTCACGTCACCACGATTAAAAATAACAATAAGTTATTTTTTGTTTTTTTTTTTTAAGGAAAAGAAACTCTCCAAGGCCTCCCTATATGCACACTTTTTTATTATGGCATGAGGTCAGTGCTGTGACCTCTTTTTTGGCATCAGGTTCTTGTGGCTAAATATGGAACTGCCTGGAATGCTGTTGGTCTTCTTTTCAAAATAAAATTTCATGAAATCAATGCCAGATGAAATAAATTATTCTTATCTATCTCAGGTAGTTCTGGAAGCCTTATGCATTGCCTTATACAAAAACATGAAGTTATTTAGTTTGTATGTTGAATTGACCAATAATGAATCACATTGTCAAGTTTTGCCCACACAAGCTCAAAACAAACATTAATGGGCTCCCAATATTTGGAAGGAAATACATTTCAACTACCACAGTTTAATTTTTTTAATCATCAGTTATTCCAACTGTTCATAATGCCCAAAGAATTAAAAGAGTATTTTCAATGACAAAGCCTAAGATTTTGCAAGTACAGTATTTTGATCTGCACAAATTTCTCCAAGCTTTAATAACTGTCTTCTGATGCCAAAGATACAATTTTTGGCATAATATTCGGCCTGTAATTCATGTCGGGAAACTCTGAGTATTTTTTTTTTAGTGTGGACATGTATTGAAGAAGAAGTAAAGGATCTTACTTTGATTCATGTGTCGCAATTATTGTAGTATTATGAGGTTACAGAGACACCTGGGAGAAGCGGAGCCTAAATAATCTGTGCGTAGCGTATCTTTTGAAAATAGGTGTCGCTCTAAACCAATCCCCACACAAAATCGTACTTCCGCGGAAATGGAACACAATTAAAGCAGTACCCAATTCTCGGGATTCCATTGTGCCAGTATAATTGTTGAAAACGTGTTCTGATGAAGATTAAAAGGGATCCCTTCGCGAGATATTTTTGTGGAACTACGGAATTCTTTGAAATATTTTTAAAAATATGTTGTTGCACAAAGGAGGAAGATATGAGTGTGTTTTCAGCAGAACCACACCTTTGTGTTCAGAATAAGCGAACATTTCACGACATGATGCAGGCGAAAATTGGAGCAAAGCATTTATTTTCAACTTTAACTTGCAGCAAAAAGGTCATCATATGTGGGAATCATGCTCATCACAGGGGACAGTCCATGATACATCAGAGCTAGAGCATTCCTTTCCTGGCGCAAAATACAGTATAACAGGGAATGAAGTAATGTAGGAAATGTGAACATGGCCCCTTTGCTTCACTATACAGTGTACTGTACTGTATCTGCTGATGCTTTGCCCTGTGCATTCCATTGTGTTTGATGAAAGTGCACAGAACCATGACCAGTCTGATGGTGGCAATAAGAGGATTGATTTTAGGGCTGATGCAGAGGAGTGAACATTCCAGTCCCTCTGTGCTGCTGAATGTGAGAGCAGGAAGCATTAAATCACAGTTTTTAAAACAGTTTTCACATTTTTTATTCATAAAAAAATCTTTTTAACTTGAGGTTTGCAAGAGTTTTATTCCCATAGTATTCATGAAAACATCTTGTTGAATTCCTGTGTGACATGTGGCATTATTAATGAAATGAAACTGAAAAGGGCTTTGTGAAAAATAAAACAATTCAGATTTAATTTCCTAGATCTTATTGTACTTCATCAAACTTTAACTGGTACCTGTGTTCATGTTAGTGATACATATATGAAATCAAATTCAACCCTAGTTCAAGTTGTTTTTGGGTGCATTTATTATGTTGTAAACAAAAGCATCATTCATGATCCACCAATACAGTATATAGTCCTATATAGAATGTATTTGAGCAATCAGGAAATGGCATATACACAGTAAAATATAATGAAAATTTCTAAAAGAAAAATTGGATTTTGGTTGCAAAATTTCCAATCGTGCAATTTAATGCACAAGCTAAAATTTTGGTTATACTGTACAGTATTTGGATACAAATTCAAAACCATGGTAAAAATATCCTTAAAATTGTATAAACTCTGAAATCCTTGCAAAGGGTACAGTACATGAAACTACATGGAATTTTGTTAGAGAAGCAAATCCACAAATCTGCTCAACAAATTTTTAAATTTTGAGATCCTTTGGAAGTGTGCAGTACATGAAACTAAATGAAATTGTGTTTGCTCATTTAGGAAAGGCACACAAATAAGAGGCCAGTTGTGCCAGATGAAAAAAGGTGGGCCAGAGTGGCAAATGCAAATAGAGTCCAAGGGAAGCTCCAAGTTGGTGCTAGGAGTCATGGCAGGTGTGGCAGTGTTGTCAGCAGTCCTGGCCACCACCATGGTGGCCATAGTGTTCCTGACCCAACCAGCAGAGTCAGGCAGCAAGTCAGCAGACCTCAGAGCACCACTGACCTCAGGTGGCTGCCCACCTCACTTCACCCTGGACCCCAACAATGAGTGTCGCCCAGTCTTCTCTGAGGACCCTGCCATCCTAATGAGTACCAATTCCACCACTATTAGCACCAACTCCACCAAACCTCTGCTGAGAAGGGAAGAGGATGCTGGCAACCTCATCCACAGGCCCCTGGCTGAACAAGCTGGATCAGACTGCAGGAGAGGCTTTGTGAAAGATGTCACTGGCAGGTGCAGGCCTGTCTTCAGCACCAAGGGACACAAGAGGTCACTCCCTTCCAACCACCTGCACTGATCACACCATGC